TACTGAATAAAAATATGTAGTCTCTACAATGGGTAACATATCCTCTATAAAAACAAACTGCTTAATTATATAAAATAAAGAATTAATCAGATTTTCTTAATCAGATCCTGAACAGTTTAAACAAAAATTTAAGATTTGTGGTTTATTTCATAATACCAAATTGAATCTTTCTCCTTCTCAATAGTTCACTATGAATTTTTCTTAGAAGCATTAACCCCAAACCCAAAATCCTTTCTCTAGCAGTTTCTGCCAATAAACAGGAGTTTTATAGCCCATGTCCAAAAAAGATGTGCAGATGAAATGCTTCTTGCTTCATCCTTACTATCTGGAGTCCCTGGAAGTCTTATTTTCCTTTTGGACATGAATTCAGGAACAGTTCAATATATACCTACGCTGAACAGGGACCTATCCTTGAGCATAGCTGCAACAGCATCCTCATGGGTATCGAAGTGCACATCAGCTTCTCCAGTAGCCTTTCCACTGGAAATGTATTCCATGGTGATTCTCACAGGCTTCAGGGGAGCAAAAAAATTTATAATGTCTTGGGCATTAGCTTGAAAAGGTAATCCTCTCATGTGGACAAAATGCAAAGAAGACGTAGTTCCAAAATCAACAGCTTCTGGAAGCTTTTCTGACATCTCCTTAGGCAATTCTATCTCCTTCTCACTTTCAAAACCTGTCATGGGTCGAATGTCTTCATTTACTTCATGTTCTTCAAAGACCATTTCTGGCTCAGTTATATACTTAGCAATAGGAGAAGATGCCATTTTCTTTCCCTTATGAGAGCCAACATGGGTTCGAACTTCATTCCTTCTGCTTGGAAATATCTCTATATACCGGTTACCAATTTCTTCCCTGTGTTTCAACAAGGCTTGGTTGGCCATTTCTGGTTCTTCAAACTGCGCATATGCTTCCCCTGTTTTTCTTCTCCCTCTATAGTCCATTTACAAAAGTAATGTCCACTATATTCAGTCCTGCAAAGAAGTCCTCGATATCTTTCTCATTGCAACTATAAGGAAGTCCTCTTAATCGAACTACACCATCATTCACCACAGGTGACGACTTGACCTGTAGGCTCTTCATTAAGGCATCCACATCTTCATTATTTATCTCATATACTTCCATATATCGCTGACTCATGTACATGCGGTGCTTTTCTAAGGCTTTCTGCACATCCTGCTCTGACTCCATTTCAATTAAGGCGTCACCCCTTCGATTCCCATCTCTATTTAAAAGGAAATGTATTCCATTCTCACTATTGCGGATTCTGCAGTCTGAGAAAAAGTTAAGCACATCTTCCACAGTATATGACCAAGGCAATCCTTGAGCTCCAATGAGATAAACATCATCCACCTCCTCTCCTAACTTGGTTGGGGCCAATTCATACTCAGGGAGTGGTGGAAGGTCCTCCAGGTAGGTAGTTTTGGACTCCTGGCTGTAGCTGCCCGCGGCCGCTAGCGACTGCGGTAGCAGAGGAGCGCGCAGAGCCAGGTAGGAGGCCGCGGCCGCTGAGGTGGCCGCAGGTGGAGGGCCCGCCAGCTTCCCGGCGGGCACAGGCCCGATCTGGAGCGGCCCCCGAGTAACAGCAGCAGGCAGCGGCAGCCCAACACCCAAGTCATTAGTTTTCATGAAAATAAGTGTATTGAATAATCATTTTGTTTGATTTTAAGAACTGATTAACTTGCCAAGTGTAGTGGCACATGCCTAGAATCCCAGCTACTCAGGAGTGTCATAAGTTCAAGGCCAGTCTCAGCAAATTAGAGAGACCCTGTCTCAAAATAAAAAATAAAAAGGCCTGGGGATGTGGCTCAGTGGTTGAACACCCCTGGGTTCCATCTCTGCTACCAACAAGCAGAGATTGTTGGTAAATAAATTTCTGTTTCTCTTAATTTTTAAATGAGAACATCCAAACATAAATACATGTGAGTAATCTATTACTTACAGAAGTCGTGTCTTATACTTAGTGTCCTGAATTCATAAGTTGAAGATAAAATATTTACACCACTCCAGGAACCTTTACCCCATGTGATATAGTCACTATATAGGATTCATGAAGTCTGTTCCTCCTTCTGTCCCTCCTTCCATCAAAAAAACCTTCAGCACTAGCTGAGGAAAAAGAAAGGTCCTCCCAGACCTTTCATAATCCCAGCAACAGCAGCAAATAAGCAAATTGTGTTAAATGAGCCCTGAGCAAGGTGTAAAGCTATAGGAGAGGGTTTGAAATGAAAAACAGGAATGCTTCTCCCTGCAGCCTTCTCTGCCAGAACTTTCAGCAGGAGTTGTCAGAGACAACTTTGGATTCTTCAGAGTAGCTGACTTTGATATAATTTGTCCTGAGTTATCTATGCTGAGCAAATAATTAACTAACAATGAATACAAATCAAATTCTTCTTTCTGACTAATCATAAAAATTGAAGTATTCTTTCATATGGAATCTTAAATCTGAAATTCTTAGAATTGGATAACCTTGTGATTCCCTTTTCCTTTTTATAACCTTATATAGAAAAAGTATAGACTGTGAAATGTGTTTCATTTGCCCAAAACAGGCTAGAGAAAATATATCTAGCTTAATTTTGTATTTGAACTCTGTAAAACATTAAAAACACGTCTTCCATTTTGACTGAAGATGCTAATGCTATGTACATCACAGAATATTGGTGAACGTTTAGACATGAGGAAGGGAGTAATTGTATAATGGTTTCATTATTGTTATAGGACCTCGTGTTGGAGCTTGTATTTGGTTATCGAGGCAGAGACTGCAGGAATAATGTACATTATTTAAATGATGGTGATGATATAATTTATCACACTGCATCAGTTGGAATTCTGCACAATGTTGCTACAGGTAGGAAACCCTAGTTCTCTATCTCCTTATATACTCTGCTTTTAATTTAAAATCTTTTAACTAGGAGCTTAAATTTCTTTGTTAAACCTATAAATAATAATTGAAAAATATGAGAAATGATCCAGAATAAAAAATATTTCATATTATGGCACTATCTAGTTATACTTTAGTATTAATAGAGTATGATACAGCAGAAAAGTATTTTATAAGGCCAAGTTCTCATAGATTTCTATTAAAAGTAAAGGTTCGCTATACATTAGAATCCTATTTTACAGTGAAATCATTGTGCCTCTAATTTATTTTCCCATAACCTCATCATGAGAATGGGTGGTTTGGATGGTTGTCTTTGACAGTGATTGAAAGTAGCACATTGGATAAGTGACCACTGGGGTGATTAGTGAGGCCTTAGAAAGCCAAGCAAGAAAGCTTTTTGTCTGTGGGTTTACTGATTATTGCTTGTTTGATCCAAGAATGTAAGAAAATATTCCTTGATGTTTATTTAACAGTCTTGTTGAAGAGCAAATAGAGTTATCTTATTAAATATGATCCAATGATGTTAAGTATTTTATTTTTAATTCTGTTTTATTACATATGATTGCAAACTTTATGAAGTTTGAAAGCAAAAACAGAGTCTACCTGATGAGTCATTTGGGTTTTCCTTTGATAGTTTCATTCTGAATGGATAAAGAGTAAATTATGTGCATCATTATCCTCCTCCCCTTGTCAGTATTAATCATTAATATGATCTTTCTTTTCTGGTTTGCTAAAGAAAAGGATTCACAAGAATTACATGCAATTTTTCATTTAATAATTTGAGCCATTTTTAAAAAGTACTACTTAGAAAATCCTTTTTAATTGAGGTTTCACATATCCTTCAAGAGAATGGGAAAGAGTAAAATGAGACAAGCATGAAAGGAATAAATATATATATAAACTTTCATGTTTATACTTTTGGTTTGATTTTTAGCTTTCTGATTTATAATTAATCACCTTTCTAATGGTGAAGTGCTGAGAGAGGATGGAGGGGGAGATGAGGCATCTGCTTCAGTTCTTAGTATTTGGCTTCCAACCAGTTTACATTGCTGTGCTCATAGTCTAGGAAGTATAGATTCATTAGCTGATATTCCACCAACTTAGCCAACAGCTCATAATTAGTTGTTTGTTTCTTTAACTGAACCCACAGCCCTGGAAAGTAAAAATCATATTTCATATCAAGGAAAAATGAGTTTTTAGTCTTGTTTTCTTTTGTTTGAGATCCTGATATTCAGGGTCCTCTAATATGGATTCAACCTACTGTTCTGACCTCATGTCCTACTTAATCATTTTACTTGTATAAACCTAGTTTTTTATTGCCTCCTGTGTAGAGTACTTTCATAGTCTCCTGAAATCTCTTCACTGTCAATCCTGCTAGATGAATCACATTATTTCCATTTTTATCATACTAGAATTTCATTTTTATTTTTAATTGGTGCATTATAATTATACACAGTGGTAGTAATTACTATGTTATGTGCATGCACATAACATAATTTGATCAATCTTATTCCCTAGTACCTTCTCTTTTCCTTCCCTCCTCCCCCCCCCCATCTACTTGCTCTACTCTACTGACTTCCCTTCTATTATTGTTATTTTAATGAGTGCATTATAATTATATATGCATGGAATTCATTGTGGTATACTTGTACATAGACATAGCATAATTGGTATATTTTATTCCCTAGGACTTCCCCACACTCTCCCCTCCTCCCTCCCTCTTGATCCCTTTCCTCTACTGTATTGGTCTCCCTTCTATTTGGGGGATACATTAATTCTTTGATCAAAAAACTTTAGTGCCTCTCCACTGACTGCAGAATAAATATGAAATATTAATAAATATGGCTCAAACTACTAAAGGGAAAATTATCTCTGGTTTTTGTATGACCCTGGTGAATCTTTTTCTTTAGGAAACCAAAACAAAGATCATAAGCCTTGAAAATCTTTCATAATTCTAGTCCCTACTTCCCTTTCCAACTGCATTGCTCACTTTTCTTTCTCATGACCCTACAGCCAAAGGAGTCATTATATATGCATACCCCTGCCTTTGCGCCTTTCCTCAGGGTTCCTCTACCTACCTAAAATGCCCTTCCCCACCCTCCTTCACATTTGCAGAATCTGTCTGCATCAGTGCAGAAGCGTCATATTCCCATAATGAGAATAAGTCTTCCTGTGCTAAATTCCCATGGCATTTTGATTCTTAAGTCTTTGGTGGTACTTGGCATCTTCAGCCTTGGATCATACGATTGATCCTTCAGATCATATGGTTGATCCCTGTCAGATTTCTATCTTTTTAAAACATCTGATTCTTTATCCTTTGATAATGTGTATAGTAAGTACTCAAAAACTATGTGTTGAATAAGCAGATAAGTTAGTTTGTAGTGCTAGATAAATGCATTTGGTTGTTATATCTTAAAAGTTTTCTAACTTAATTCTCAAATTCTTTCTTTATAGGGATTCAAAGTTTTTATCAGGAACATAATGATGATATTCTGTGCCTCACTGTAAATCAGCACCCCAAATTTATCAACATAGTGGCAACTGGCCAAGTAGGTATGTTTCTATATTTTAAAAAGAAACAATATGAAGCATTTTTGTTCAAATAAATTCAACATCCTAGGAAAAATTAAAGTGTAATATAATTACAGATTCTTCAAAACTCTGTGTACATAAAACACACATAAAATTATACCATATGGTTTGCTTCTAAGTACCTTCTCTTACTAACTTTGGTTATCTGTTTAGTACAGACAATTTTAAATTTAAAATCAACTGTCATATAGGGGCTGGGGTTGTGGCTCAGTGGTAGAGCATTCGCCTAGCATGTGCGAGGCCCTGGGTTCGATCCTCAGCACCACATAAAAATAAATAAAATAAAGGTATGGCGTCCAACTACAACTAAAAAATAAATATTTTTTTTAAAAAAGTCAACTGTCATATAGTGGTTTAAATATTCAGATTTAATTCTTTATCAGGAATTTCTGATTAGCAAAAAAATTTAATTCAGTATCATATGAAGCAGAAAGGAAGTACTTTAATGAGAGGAGAGTTCTGTTTCAGCAAGAGTTAACCTAGAAAGTGGTGAGAACCCAGCTGGGCATGGTGGCACAGCCTGTAATCCCAGCAGCTCAGGAGACTGAGGCAGGAGGATCACGAGTTCAAAGCCAGCCTCAGCAACTTAGTGTGGCCCTAAGTAACTCAGCAAGACCCTGTCTCTAAATAAAATATAAAAAGGGTTGGGGATGTGGCTCAGTAATTAAGCACCTCTGGGTTCAATCTCTGGTACCAAAAGAAAAAAAGTGAGAACCTGGCTGGGCTTGTGGCTCAGTGGTAGAGCACTTGCCTAGCAAGTGTGATCCTCAGCACCACACAAAAATAAATAAATAAAATAAAAATATTGTGTTCATCTACAACTAAAAAAATATTTTTAAAAAAGTGAAAAAACAAATTTATTTCATGTTTGTAAATCCCCACTGTCTTTTCCTTTTCTTTAGTATTAATCTGATTCATCAAGTGTTTTTGTTGTTGTTGTTTGTTTTACAGTACCAGGGATTAAACCCAGGGGCTCTCTACCACTGAGCTACATGCATAGTCTCCCTCTCCCCTTTTTTTCTACAAGATAAGATCTCACTAGGTTGCCAAAGCTGGTCTTGAACTTGCAATCCTCGTGCCTCAGCCTCCTGAGTTGCTGGAATCACTGTTTACTTGCTTTTTTAAAAAATTTTTTTAACCTTGGTCAAAAATTTAAAGGCCATAGATTTACAACCAAAATGATTGAAGATAGCAGATCTATTTGGACATATCTACCAATCATTGATCACTATGAATACTACATTATAGATTTGGTCAGTCATATCTTCACAGCTTTCATATAGCTTGTAAAGTTCTTAAATCATTGGGTTGGTTGGACCTCAGGGGGTTGTGGTTGCTAAGCTAGCTTTCTAGCTATCTTTTTCTTAAAAAATTATTCTTTTAATATCTTATTTTTTCATGCAAGTACTGAATTGATTAGTCAAAAACTTGTTCTCTGCGTCTCCTGGTTCTATTACTATGCCCCCTGGGTCCCTGCTCTTTTTCCTTCTGTACAGTTTTCTGCTTTTAAAGGAAAGTAGACTATTATAGTACCCAGTATTCTAATCTTTGTATAGGAATATATATGTATACTCCCATTTGTACTAAGTTCTTTGAAAGTGATGTCTTGTTTTCCTCTGCACAAGGAATAAGGCCTATCTCCTGAAGGAATAGAGACCATACACCTGGCTTCATATCTCTTGGTATATAATTATTGCTCTGTTAATTGTTACTGAGTAAATTATTTATTCAACAAACTTATTAAGCACCTACCATATGCAAGGTATTGTTCTAGCAGCTTACAAAAAAGACAAAATCCCAGTTTTAATGTAATTTACATTTTGTGAATGGAATTCTAGAAGGTATGGTTTGTTTGCTCATTCTTCCTTTCTTTCTTCTGCTCTCCTTTTGTTAAGCAACTTTTCTCATATTAGTGCCATAGGTTTCTTTTAGTTGAGAATTTTCATAGTCACACATTAATCTTTCAGAATTTTGGCCCCTTTCTCCACTTCTTTCCCTTTATTTTGAAAGGCAACAGTTCAGGGAACGTGGAATGGCTCATGGTCTTCCCTTCTCTTTCCAAGTCAAACTCTGCAGTGCAGAGGTGAATTTTAAGTCATGCATGTAGCCCTGTGCCTTGTCTCACTTGTAATTTTTTATAAAATGGTTAACAAAAAATGCTTCACTGATGACTAAGTATAAGAGGGACTCAGGGAAGAACAAAGAATGGAGAGGGATGTTTTTTCTTAAAGGGAACTGATAGGTAGTCACTTTGCTGCCAAGCTTATTTAATACCCACAAGGCACAAAACACCATTTAAGTTGTTGGGTTTTTTTAAAAAAATTATATGGATCATAAAGAAATTTAAATATTTACTTTGTGGTATGTTAGCCAGTTACACTCAGACTTTTATTTTCTTGACTAGAATCTTAAATCTCAGGGCCAAATGTATCTTTTTATCCATTATATAATTGAACCCATCATTTATGCCTAATATGGTAGTCTAACCTCTCCCTAGGAAGCTCATTTATAAAATAGTTCTCCACATAGAATGGAAATATGTCTCTCTAATTGCTACTCATTGGTCCTCATTTTGGGGGTACCTAGAACATGTAATCACTTTTTCCTATAACTTTTTTCTCCAGTTTTGGAAACTATCCTATTCTGACAGAGTCTTCTCTAGTACTTCTTTTAGAATGTCCACTCTGGACATCTTCCAACTACATTTCATGGGTCAAGGTATATATGAGAACAGTGAGATTGCTTTCCATAGGGGAGCCTCCTTCTCCATTTGGGGATTTGAAATCACAGAATTAGAGCTGGGGATGGGGCTCAAGCGGTAGTGAGCTCGCCTGGCATGCATGCGGCCTGGGTTTGATCCTACTCCTTTTTTCTTTGGTAAAGACTGTTAATTCTTTTATGTGGTGCTGAGGATTGAACCCAGTGCCTCACACGTTCTAGGCAAGCACTCTACCACTGAGCCACAATCCCAGACCTAAAGTCTGTTAATTTTTAAGTTTTTTTTAAACAGGTATTTTCACTACAAATACAATGAGTATAGATAGGTATTCACATTTTCTTGGCAAACTTTAACTCATAGTGAAAATATTTAGTTTAAAAAAAAAGAATTTTTTTCTTGGGTTATAGTGTAATCTTTGCTATCATGTCCCTCAGAAGATTTAGATTAAATTCTTCCCTTTAGGCAGAGATGCATTAAAATTCCAAAAGAGTCATTAAGTGGTGCATTTTATGACCCCAAAATAAGTGTATTATCAATTTAAATATTATTTTTAAAGTTATAATTACAATTTCATGTAAGTCATTAATTATGAAGAAAATTGTTTTTATCAAAGAAAGATTGAAAGGTCATACATAGAATGTTAATATGTGCATATAATTGAAATGGTTGCCTTCTCTCTGTTTACTCAGTGTAATACAACTGGTTGCATATATTTTATTAAGTTATTTTAAAAATATTTATGATAATGGGTTTTGCAGATTTTAAGGCATTTGTGTTATTTATTGGTAACAACTTTTCTGTTGCTTTCTTTTATAGGTGATTCAGCAGATATGTCAGGTAAGGAAAGATTTAATATTTTCAGTTTTATTTATATTGTTTGGTAATGGTAGCCCAAATTTTTATAAAGTAAATAAGATATCTGAGTGACTATTATTACTTGCATCAAACATCTTATTACTCTACAAAAAGTTTGTAAATTATTTGTAATAAAGAATATATTAGTTTAATAACATGATACTGAGCTCAATCTGCAATAATAGTATTTTCTTAAAAATGAATGTTTTGACCTTTTTTCCATAAGCATGGAACTGATCTAAGTACTTTCCTTATACTACCTCATTTAATCATCACAAGAATTCTTCATAGTAGTTACTAACTTGGTAACATTATAAGGTTAGGAAAAGTGGAGGTGGGAGAGCTTGGAGGTAATCCCTAGCACAAAAAAAAGGGGGGGAAAGGAAAGGGAAAAAAATGATCAAAATGATCATAACTTAATCTTAAATATAAATAAATTATATTGACTCTGAATAAAATTACAAAAATAAAATCAGATTTTTACATAGTATCTTAGTTGTATATATTAAATCAACAGATCACTTAAAGATTTAGAACTTATTGATCTTAGCTTTATGAATTAAAGATAATAATTAAATTAACAATGTGTAGCTATTTTCTTTAGATATTACAATAACTAATCCTTTTCAACTATATTTTAAATTTATGTAATATAATATGAATTAGCAGTTTGATAAAAGATTTATATGTTTCTTTCCCCTCCATCAGGGCAGAATATGATTTTATGATTTGACAAATCAACTATTAATTTATTCAAATCAACAGGCAAGGTCACTGCTTACTTGGTTTCACCTGGGAGCAGGGGTTGGCAAACCATAGCTCATGGGCTTTATTTGGGCCACCGCCTGCTTTTGTACAGCCCAGTTTTATTAATTTAAGTAGTTGGGAAAAATTAAAAGAATGCTATTTTATGACATATGAAAATTATATGAAATTCAGATTTCTGTATTTGTTAACCAAGCTTTATTAGGCATAGCCATGCTCACTTACAGAGTATCTGTGGTGGTTTGTGTGTTGTTAATGGTAGAGTTGAGTGGCTGCAGAGACTGTGACAGTCTCATAAGTTACACAGTATAAGTTACGGTGACACAATTATAACTTCACAGGTTTTAAGATAGATACACACACACACACACACGTATACACATACACATATATCTGTACTACAACGTTTACTTTCTTTTTTAACCAGTGCATCTCTATAATGTCAAAACAAGGGTGAGGGAAGAAAAGTGGATTTTGAATGTTATACTTTTAAGGTACAGTGAAGTGTGGATTATGTTGTTCTCAAATGAGATGGTAAAGAATTGTGTTTATTATGGAATGACACTATAGTTGTGCTAAAAGAATGTTACATAGCCAGATATGGTGGCGCATGCCTGTAATTGCAGCAACTCAGGAGGCTGATGCAGGATGATTGAAAGTTTGAGTCCAGCTTCAGTAACTTAGTGAGGGTCTGTCTCAAAATAAAAAATTTAAAAATAGCTGGGATGTGGAGCAGTGATTAAGTGCCCCTGGGTTAGTTCCCTGGTACCAAAATAATAATAATAATAATAATAATAATAATAATAATAATAATACAATATGCATTATTATTATTTTTTTCTGGTGCTGGGGACCAGACCCAGGGCCTTGTGCATTGTTAAGCATAATCTCTTCCACTGAACTATATCCCCTAACCCTATGTCAGTATTTTACCACCAAATTATTTTGTGTGGTTTCCTTTAGCTCTTGACGGTTTGATAGATGCTGTAAGTACTAGCCAGTCACTATTCAAGATGCCAACTCTGAAGAGACAGAAGAGTTAGCCTCTATAAATAGCCTCCATGGAACTACAAAAAAAATTATTTTTGAAGAAGATAAGGAAACATTTTAGTACAACTTTAAGTGGTTCTGAGACATAGCACAACTGATGATAAAAAAATATGTGGGGAACAGCAAAAGGGATAGTTGGATAAATTTACCAAGCTTGAATGGAACTTTTTTATTCTCAGCAGGTAGTTTGTGAAAAATATTTCTATCATCTGTTACTGAACGTGAATTTTTATGATTGTCAACAGTTGTTTTATTTGCCGTCTGACTTAATTATTATCAGTTTCATGAATTTAGATTATTAATACAAGCTTAATATCCCAGTAGCCATGCCAGGAATGATGTAAATTGACAGCCAAGACATGAATGAAAGCTCCAGGCTCAGGCTCATTTTGGGGGTCTCAAGAATTACCATGCATTCAGAATTCACTGGAAGGAATTGCAGTGCTCAGAGTTGGTGGTCCAGCAAGAGAAAAGGACAAATAAGGCAGAGTCTGGAGGACCCCATCACAGACCTTCTGGCTCCCGCAGGGACCACAAGGCCAGCTTTATCCCCATCAGCTAATCTAGCCATACACATGGGTGTTTTGCCAGGGAAGCCCACTTAAGACTCAGAGTCCAGGGCTTTTATTTGGGGTTAGGCACATAGACATGAAGTGTAACCACAAGTACCAAAATACCAGACTCCCAGAAGAAAGCAGGTGTCAGTGCCCCTAACAAGACAGAGCAGTTGTGTAACATAAGGAACACTTCAGAAGCCAAGTTCTTACACACTCCAAGAGCCAGCCCACAGGCAGGGCCTTCTAATGACCAACCTCCAGCCTGTGTAAAACCTAAGGCTGGGTCAAGAAACTAGAAAGTGAGTGTGCCTGGAGGAAAGCTGCTGAGATAACCACAGTGAGAAGGAGGGAGGGGTCAGCTCCCAGAGGGAGTCTGGATTCATGTCAAGGTTAGTCTGTCACTGGAGAATTTTAAATAACACAATGATCTAATTTGTATTTTGAGAAAGCCACCTCCACTAGCTTGTTGAGAAAGAGGAAATTAGACAATTAGGAGCCTATTATTATAGTCCAAGCAAAAGACAAACAAGGGTAGCAGGAGTGAAAGTAGAAAAAACTAGACAGACGTGGGACATAGTTTAGAGGTAAATCCAGCAATCCTCTCTGATGAGTTGGATTTGGGGTAAGATAAAGTGAGGCTAAATACTAATTTTTTGCTTGAGCAGTTAGCTAAATGAGATGGGCGAATACTTGGGGGGAAATGCATTGGGCAGGGAGAATTGTCTATATACATAAAGAATGAAGGCAGTTTAGGTACAAATATAAAATGGTAGATTTGGGGATGATAAAATAATGAAACGCCTATCTGATTACGTCATCAACTGAGAGTAGGGAGGGGAGAAGCAGGGGTTGGTTTTAAGAGGAGTGAAGTTCTCAAATAGTTACTTTGGAATGTAGGTTGATAAACACTTATAGTAGAAAAGATATGGTGGAATTACCCTGAAGACATTAGATGTATTTTCAGTGGACACTAAGGGAATACTTGTATCTCTGACAAAGTTATTTCAGTCCTCCATGACTATATGTGGAACTTAAGAATTTGATACCTTTGATCCTTTAGGCAGGAGAGTTTTCCCTCTGCTTTTGCTTAGTATTTGTTGTGGTAGTGGGTGTCTATCAGATGGCTTTGTGGGTCTCTGGGTGCCCTCTACAACAGAAAAGGATGTTTATTAGCATGAACAGTGAGGAAGGCGGGTAGTCTCCTGATTCTGCTGCTTCTGGAGCACTTCCAGGACCCAGGATCCAGGCATGTTCCCTCTTTGCCACTCTGCCAGGCATAGCATTGGCTTCACCAATAAGGCCAGTTGCATTCGTGGTCACTCAAGGGCTGCAGCAGCATTTGAAGTCGCATGCTTCCTTGCTTTCATCCAGTGGGAAAGAGGAATAAAACTCCTTTTCACCTAAAAATCCTTCCTATTACTCTGACTGATTTAAGCCATCTAACATGCCTTATTGAGACTCCAACTATGCCCTAGGTAAACTTTGACTTTTAGTGAATGTGGAACATTTTTAGCCCAGTACTTAAATTATTATAATAAATTTTTGAAACAACCTATTTTATTATTGGCAAATTTTTATATCTAGTTCTCTATAGTTTTGATATTATACTGTTACATAAACCTCTCTACTTAATGGTACTCAAGTTTAAATATCTGATTTAATAAATTTTAACTGCTTTACTTGAATTATCAGATTTAATGTACCATTGTGTTCTATAAATAGCAAATGGTGAAAATATTATGTTTTTTTAGATACCAAAATTTCTTTCTGCATCAAATAATTTAATACAACTTGTCTTAATATTTCTCTTTTTGCAGTACGTATAACATGTATAATTTGAAGAAAATGCACTTAGTATTTTAATTGTTTTACTCAAAGTACATTCATTCTAAGACTGAATTAGCTATAGAGTGTAGTTCAGGAAAAATAATAATACAAAGCTATGGTATTTTAATTTACAAAATACAAAGAATCAAGCTGGGAATGTAATTTAATGGTAGAATGCTTACCTAGCATGTGTGAGGCTCAATTCTCCGCACTGTAAAAACCAATCTACAAAAAAAACAAACATCAGAACCGGAAGCAACTTTTTAAGTAGTAGCAGCACTGCATAGGATGATTAAAGTTTTTTGGTTTTTTAAAGATTTTAAGTTTAAAAAAAAAAGATTTTGAGTTTTATCTTTCCCTAAACTTCTGGGTTTTTAAAAAAATTCTTATAAAGGAATATATAGCTCTCTATATTGTCAAAATTTTCTTTTGAGATTTGTTCAGGTGGTTTTCTAAGTATTGCTTTTCATAACTGTGTCTGCTTTTCATTTCTCTCCCAGGTAACATTGATGCTAAATATATATTTGTATTTAACATATTTATTGTATAAAAATGTAGATAGCTCTCTATATAATTATAAAACAATTAAAATGTGTCTAAAACAGTGCCTTTTTCCCCTCTGATGTTGAGAATAAGCCATAAGCTCTAACACTGAACTACATCTCTAGCCCCCAAACATGCCTTATTTTTTGATAAGTTGTTTAATGTTATGATGGACTGATTTTTGTATAAATGCTATTTTCTCAAAAGTGCAATTGGAAATATAGCCTAAAGAAGTATTCTGGTTTTGTTTTCCAAAAATTTAGTCTTAGTTTGAGCTATTCTTTGTTAAGTATACTCCTTCTTGGGTACATTTTTCCATGTTTCAGAGATGGGTTTATGTATTTTAGATATGGAACCATTTATAACAAGTCAGTTCCAACTTTTGGATTTCATCTTTGTTTAGCCACAGCCCCTTCTATCCACATCTGGGATGCAGTGAGCAAGCAGACTTTATCTATACTAAGATGCTACCATTCAAAGGGAGTATGTTCGGTCAGCTTCAGTGCTACTGGCAAACTCTTGCTGTCTGTGGGACTAGACCCAGAACATACCATTACCATTTGGAGATGGCAGGAAGGTAGGATAATGTGTGTGAATATGAATTATGTATTTAATATTTGCCTTAAGTTGGTGATTGAAACCATCATTCACAATAGCTCTATCCAGTACATGCACACAGTTTGTGGTCCTATAGGTAGGTTTCACTTTAAAAGTCCAGTGAAATTCTAAGTTCACAAAACATAAAATTAATGAAATTATTATTATTAAAAATTATTAACTGCTGTTCCTTTCAGTAAGAAACTATATATGTATCTTTGCTAATTATTAGTGATTGATTGGTGTTAGAGGAGCTTAATAAAGAATGAAAATGTGTGTGTGTGCCTGTGTGTGTTTGCAGTGATGGGATTAAGCCCAAGGCTCAGTGCTAGTTAGACAGGTGCTGCATTCCTGACCCATGAAGTATATTTTAAATGATATTGGAAGACCAATAGGATAGTATTACCAAATATACAGGGAAAAGAAAAGAATGTTTCCCAAAATCATTTTATGACCCTTAAATGGTAATGAAGCTCCCTGTAAATACATAACTCAGTTATGGAGTTATAAAGGACTTTCTACCCAAGTAATTATAGTCATGTGATTGCTTGGTAACAGAGCAAGGGCCACAGTCCTCCCTTTAATAAGCATTTTTTTTAATCCATGTATTTTTAACAAATATTTAATTATATAACAATTAAAAATGTATCTAAAACAATGCCTCTCCCCCATGTTGAGGATTGATATAAGCCATAAGCTCTAACACTGAACTACATCTCTAGCCCCCAAACATGCCTGTTGATTAGCTAGGTTCTTATATTAACTTGGATAATTTCGTTGTATCTTCTTATCAGGTGCCAAGATTGCCAGCAGAGTGGGGCACAACCAACGTATTTTTGTAGCAGAATTCCGACCAGATTCAGATACCCAGTTTGTCTCTGTGGGAGTAAAACACGTGAAGTTCTGGACCCTGGCAGGAAGGGCTCTTCTTAGCAAAAAAGGGCTGCTGAACACACTGGAAGATGCCCGGATGCAGACCATGCTTGCTGTTGCATTTGGTGCAGTATGTCTCTTAAAATGTTGTGTAGGGGTGTAATTTTGACTACCAATTTTCTTGCCTGAAATAAGCCACATCAATGTTAATATGGCAGGTAATCTGTTGATCACTACATGTCCTAGTCAGGCATGTATTTCACTTTTCAAAAGTCTGATAGTTTCAGAAATGAGGGAGTGGGAAAGAAAGCTCTTGAGGGAGGATTATGATGAAAATTTGAATCCTTAGGCTTTTGCTGTTCTCCAAGGCTTTCACTAGTCTTATAACTGTCACCATATATATCCTGAAACTTCTGTCTTCCTAACAGTTCTTCACATACCTAAAAATTTGTTAAGAGTAGCCAGGTGCAACGGCACATGCCTGTAATCCCAACTACTCAAAAGGTTGAGGCAGGAGAATCACAAATTCAAGGCCAACCAGCCTAGGTAACTTAATAAGACAGTCTTAAATAAAAAATAAAAAGGTGGGCTGGGGATGTGGCTCAAGCGGTAGCGCGCTCGCCTGGCATGCGTGCGGTCTGGATTCGATCCTCAGCACCACATACAAACAAAGATGTTGTGTCTGCTGAAAACTAAAAAAATAAAATAAAAAAATAAGAAATAAATAAAAAGGCTGCGGATGTAGCTCAGAGGTAAATTACGCCCTTTGATTCGGTCCCTAGTACTGCAAATGAAAAAAATTTTTTTTGTTAGAGTAAAAGAAATATGAGGGGTTGGGGTTTTGGCTAAGTGTGCTCACCTGCACGTGTGAGGCCCTGAGTTCAATCCTTAGCACTACATAAAAATAAATAAATAAAATAAAGGAATCGTGTCCAACTACAACTAAAAATAAATATTTTTTAAAAAAGGAAAAATGAATCAAGAAGCACGATTTTCAAGTAATTTAAGTTTGGACCTGGGTTTGGGATTTCCTTTGCTTTCTTTCATCTAATATAGTTGCAAGTGTCCTGGGCCAAGAAGGGAGTAGAGAGACAAAAGGAGAAAGCACAGTCTCTGGTTTGACAGAAGAGAGATCAAGAGCCTTCCCTCTTCCTCTCCTCACTAGGTCCTACATGGGCCCATGGGTGAATTTATAATCCCCAGTCTTTTCTTTAATACCTTACTCTGGCTAGGCTTCTAAAATCCTTTGGTGAAATAAAAACAACAACAAAGCAGATTTCCTTATTATGTGTTTATATAGGTATGAAATTATTTGAAGGAAGGAAAAAAAATAAGTTTAGAACAATTAACTACACTTATGTTTGGGGGAAAAGGCCACTGAAAATGTTGGTCATGCTATGTTAAGCTCCAATTGAACATTCTGGGCATTCTTAACATTAGGCCAGTAATTTATTTCCAGAAGAAAACCCACACATTTACATGCTTCTGACATTTCATTTGCCCATGTAGATGAACTTCCTTCACTTTTAAAATTCCTCATAGTCAATAAAAAATAAACAAAGATTAAATATTAAGAATAAGTGAGTTTTAATGTATGATGCAACAGTATAATCAGAATATAAGTAAGTTTATGCTCAGTTTAAGCATTTTTTAAGTTGTTAAAACATATAAAAACATAAAAGTGGTACATATTTATTTGGCAGAATGTGATATTTTTCAGTTTAAGCATCTTTGAGTCTATGTTAGGAACTATAAAAAGAAAAGGGAAATCATCTCCATGCCCACAGAACTTACATTCTCCTTGCAGACAGGCATGAATTAATGCTACTGCTAAAGTGAGTGAAATCATCAGAACTAAAGAGTTCTCAAAACCCCCTATGACTGGTACAGATAACAGTTGTATTTTCTATGGGAAAATGCTTTGCTGAACCTAATAAAAAGTCTTCATTTGCTGTTCCTTTTTTTTTTTTTAATCTGAGAACTTTATTTATTGAGCAGTTGGAAGGAAGCAGTCCAACAAAAGAATATAAACTAGAATTACAGCATTTTAGAGTTGGAAAGAGAGAACTGTCCAAAGTTACCCTAGCTAAGTGACAGACTGGGAAAGGAAAAGCCATGAGGCAGCTGAGCCTGGAGTTCAGGTTCTGCCTCTTGGGTCCATCTCTCCATCCATACCTTGCACATGCTGAATCACAGATGAAGTAGCAACACACTCACAGATTACATCTGTTTGAACTCTCTTTGCACTTTTGATGAGTTTATCTCCCCCTTCCCCACTCCTTTTCAGAATAACTTGACGTTTACAGGTACCATCAGTGGTGATGTCTGTGTGTGGAAAGATCACGTATTGTGTAGAGTTGTGGCCAGAGCTCACAACGGGCCCGTGTTTGCCATGTATACCACCCTGCGAGATGGACTTATTGTGACTGGTGGCAAAGAAAGGCCGTGAGTCCTCTTTCTTTTCACAGCCTCACTGAATACTTGTATTTGTCATCTACCTAGGGTTTTCACAGTTAGGTATTCTGGTTATTTCTAGGATATGGGTCATCTTCTCTGGCCTTCCTCCTCATATGCTTCAACTATATTGCCTTCTATGTTCCTTCTCTGGATTCTCCTACCTAATCTTAAATCGCTTTTTCCACCCTTGTAGATAAACCTAAACTCCAATGGTAGATACTTTTTCTTAGGTCTAGATAGGTATTTTTATTACAGATTAAGAACTTAGTTTGGGCTGGAGTTGTAGCTCAGTGGTAGAGCGCTTGCCTGGCATGTGTGAGGCCCTGGGCTCGATCCTCAGCACCGCATACAAATAAATAAAAGATCCACTGACAACTAAAAACAAATTTAAAAAGAACTGAGTTTCCTCAGGACTGTGTGCGTGCATCAGTTATTTGCCTTCCATGTGTGAGGCACTGGATTTGATCCTTAGCACCACATAAAAATAATTAACATAAAGGTATTGTGTCCATCTACAACTAAAAATTTAAAAATATATATGTAAATGTAAGGAGAAACCTGTTTCTGAATGATTTTCAAATCTCCCAACAGTAACCAGATATATCTACATGTTGGAATGTGACACACAAGCACATTTCACTACAGGAATGGAAAGAACCCACATTCATCAGTTAAAAGAACAGCATTTCCTTTTCACCTGAAGAATGAATGTATCGTGGCATGCAGGCACATGTTCTCCTAAGACAAGCAAATTTATCCAACAAAAAACAAAGAAATACATTATTCAGTTATTCCAAGAGAAAATCTAAAAGTGGACTGTCTTTTACAAATAACTCTACATACTTGTATTTCTCACATCTCCCCATTTTGCACACCACTTCTCACTAGTAGCCTTTGAACTATAGGATGTCTTGATAGTGGTAGGAAAAAAATGTGCTTCTTTTTTGGACCTTAAAAATAAACTCTATAGCAGAGCATGATGGTGTGCACTTGTGATCTTAGCAACTCAGGAGGCTAAAGCAGGAGATTCAAAAATTTGAGGCCAGCCTTGGCAATTTAGTGAGACCATCAGCAATTTTATGAGAACCTGTCTCAAAATAAAAGACTGGGGATGCAGCTCAATGGTAAGGCGTCCCCAAGTAAATAAGACTCTATAGTGTATCAGCTGTAATCCTATTATCTTGCTTCACATTTCAATTCCTATGTTAAAAATGTTTTTTTGCTCATCTTAAGTATCATGAAGAGGAAAATGTATGGTGGAAGCTAAACAAGATATGCCAGAGAAAAATGAATAAGTTCACAAAATAAAATTTGCTGAATCCTAAGATTGCCATAGAAATTTATAATAAATTATATAGGGCTTTTTTAGTATTCTACTTAAAATTTAGTATTTGTTATAATGAAAATTATCTATAATAGTTACTAAGATACTTTGGGGGTTTGGTTTTTATTTACTTAGGTCAAAAGAAGGAGGAGCAGTTAAACTGTGGGATCAGGAACTGAGACGATGCCGGGCCTTCAGGCTTGAGACAGGACAAGCCACAGACTGTGTTCGTTCCGTGTGCAGAGGCAAAGTAAGATGTTCCTTGACCTGATATGGTGTAGCAGAAAACAGCAGTTTTTACTGATTCTCCCACATTGTGATTTAATGGACAATATTTAATAATACATGAGGATGGGTTCACTTGCTAGTTATCACTCCACTTTGAGTTCCGTAGTTGATGCCAGTGCAGTGCATAAGATGGGAAGACATTCTGTCTAACCAGGGTTTCCTTTCTTAAATCTGCTAACTGTGGTAGACAGAATTGAAAATCCCTGCTAGTTGACTCATTTTGATTAGACAGCTGTATACACTTTGTAAAAACATACATTCCTATAAAAACTGTGGAGCATGTATGCACTAAGTGTATTTATAAATCATGTATGTGCATTAACCTCATTCTGCTTATTCAAATATTAGCTAAGCTTATTTATACTTGCTCTTTAAAAATTCCAGTTCTATCTTGCTATATCTCAATGTACTTATACCCCTTTTTGGACATCCTTAGATTATCACAAAGTCACAACTCAGATTATTTAAGAATCTAGGTGTATTCTCTTCACATGGACTCAACTATGCACCCCAGCTCAGGGGTCTTGCTGATGTGTGCCTATAGGCACAGAAAAATTCACATGAGCTAATGATGGGCTTGTGACTAAATTAGCTCAAAGCATGTACCTGTTACGGTACATTACATATATCATTCCCTTTTATGTTTCAGGGCAAGATACTAGTTGGGACAAGGAATGCTGAAATAATTGAAGTTGGAGAGAAAAATGCAGCATGTAATATTTTGGTTAGCGGACATGTGGATGGACCGATCTGGGGCCTAGCAACACATCCTTCCAGGGATTTTTTCCTTTCTGCTGCAGAGGATGGGACAGTGAGACTCTGGGATATTGCTGATAAAGTAGGTACAACTTTTTTTAAAATGTTAGTTTCTAAGAAGTGGAAACCCTAAATTGCTAGTACTCAGAATTATGTTGAGAATTTTGGGAGGAAACTGGCTAAATTTTTAAGTACTTCAAACTTGGTCTTCTGTGACTGTTTTGCTTCTTATACAGAAGATGTTAAACAAAGTGAATTTGGGACATGCTGCTCGTACTGTGTGTTATAGCCCTGAAGGGGACATGGTGGCTATTGGAATGAAAAATGGAGAATTTATTATTTTACTTGTGAGCTCTCTAAAAATATGGGGAAAGAAGAGAGACAGACGATGTGCAATCCATGATATCAGGTTAGTTGACAAATGAAATAGAATTTTTGAAATTAATTAAATGGGGGCTGGGGATGTGGCTCAAGCGGTAGCATGCTCGCCTGGCATGCGTGTGGCCCGGGTTCGATCCTCAGCACCACATACAAACAAAGATGTTGTGTCTGCCGAAAACTAAAAATAAATATTAAAATTAAAAAAAGAAATTAATTAAATGGGCCCAGCTTGCAAAAAACCTTATCTACACCTTCAAAAAAGGCCATGTGACTTATAGCATTCTATGTAAATTGTATGCTGAAATGTGGCCACTTATATACTTAATTCTCTTTGCAATGTTAAATCAAGGGGCACCAACCAGTGCTTTATAATACGAAGTACTAGGTAATGTGTCACACTAAACATGTACAGCAAATTCATTATGAACTCTCATTCTTAATACAAGAGTCACCTGCCCTTTAGAAGTTGTAAAAACAAAGTTATAACCCCAAACATAGCTTCTCTTACTATCAGTTAGGCTTCACAGATTATCCTCTGTGATCTTTCCCTTCATGTTTCTCCTTTTTTGCTTTTAATGTACCTTTTCTGGATTCCCATTTCTTGTTCATTCAGTCTGTCAGCACTGAACACCTTTCAGGTTCCAGAATCGGAATCAAACTTTTTTTTGGAAATTTTAATTTTCAGTGCTTAGGCTTATTTAACTGAGCTGCCACTTCACTGGGCATCTGTCAAAGTGTGCTTTCTTCACCGTAAAATCCTTTCATAAACGAAACCTGCTCAGAACTTTAATGTGTGAAAACAGTAAAAGTGGCTTTCCTTGCCCCTACATGTCCCTAAGTTATCTCAACAAGACTCATAGAACATTCTCAGACTGTCTCAGGCTGTCTCCCATGCTTACCAGGCAAATTGTATTTCACTCTGCCTTTTAACACAAGTTCTTCCAAGCTTCAACTAGTCACTTCATCTCAACAAGCTGAAGCAAGTTGAGCTGGACTATGTTCTTAAAGCAGCTTTAAGATATCATTTTTCCAGCTGAAAGAATCCTATCTTAGTGAATTATATTAATAATTATGGAATGGTAATGGATTTTTTAAAAAGATATTTTAAAAATTGGGTGATAACAATAGAATATTCAAATGAAATGTAAAACTTTCTTATTTCATTTAACAAATACAGTCGCCATATACATGATCGGTTGTGTCAGACAAATTTGATACCGTATCACAAACTTACTTTCAAGAGCTAGAAAGGAAATTTCTTAAATATCTAAATATTTAAACTATTTCTTATGATCTAATGTATTTTTTTTACATTTTGTTATATATTCAGGTTTAGTCCAGATTCCCGATATCTGGCAGTTGGTTCTAGTGAGAACTCAGTGGATTTTTATGACCTAACATTGGGCCCCACCCTTAACAGAATCAGCTATTGCAAAGACATCCCAAGCTTTGTCATTCAAATGGACTTCTCTGCAGATAGCAGATATCTCCAGGTATGGCACCTAATACCATATACCCAGTTTACAAGGTTATTTCTGCTTTTACGTTGAATGCATTTAAAGCAGAGTTCCGCAGTTTCTCAGCTCTTGCCTTTTGTTACCACTCATCATTTTTGCATTACAAATCTGTAATACCCCATTCTTTTTTAAAAATAAATTTCACTCTATTTAAGGTACACAACATGTTATGGAATACATATTTATAGACAGTGTTGCTATAGTGAAAGTAAAAGTTACTATAGTGAAGAAAATTAACATATTCATCATCTCAGAAACCCATTTCTCTTTTTGTGGCAAGACTGGCTAAATCTACTTATTCAGCATGAGTATCAAATACAATTCAATTTTACTACCTGTAGTTCTCGTGTTGCACTTTGAGCCTTGAGATGTGTTCATCCTACACATCTACTACTCTGGCCTACATCTCTCCATTTCCTTCCCACTTATCCTTTTCCCCATAGTGACTTTGGCTTTCTTCACATTAAAATATGTAAAACAAAGTAGCAATTTGCCAGTATTCTATAAACCCCTTATGGATTTTGCCTTCACCTAATGGGATTCTCGTCTCACTTTGACAAAAGGTCTCTAGTGGTTGCTATAAACGGCTTGTCTATGAAGTGCCTTCAGGAAAACATCTTCTGGATCATGCTGCCATTGACAGAATTACTTGGGCTACATGGACTAGGTAAATACTGCATGAAAGGGCAGAAGCAACTTTTTAGGTAACTTGGAAAATCCTGTTTCTGAATAGTTAAGAGCCATTCCACAAGGGAATAGTAATTGAGTTCCATGTTTCTATTACCATATCTTGAACTCTTAGGAAAATAATTTTATGTTCATGCTGCATCCCTTTGAATTGAACATATTTACGTGCTTTATCAGTCTCCATGATTTACCAAGTTCTTATAAAGTAATTTTTTTTTTAAAAATCGAAGTTATGATTTTTAAAATGCCCTGATATGTTCCTGAACATTTAAAGACAGGTGCAAAGGTGCATACCTATAATCCCAGTGATTTGGGAGGATCTCAAGTCTAAGCCAGTCTAGGCAACTCAACAAAAACCCTGTCTAAAAAAAAAATTTTTGAAGGGTCAAGGGATAGATCTAGCTTCAATTCTTGGTACAATAAATACAAAAATCTTTTTTAAAATTAAAACGGGCAAGAAAAATACATGCTAAGTGCTATTAAGTAATGTAGTAATATTATTCTACTCAAAGGAATGTTACACTGGAGTTGTTAGAAATGAAGCTTATCTATTTGATAAATTTGCTGGTTGTATGACAGGTCACCAGGAGCATCCATCCTTTTGGTCAATGAAAAATGACAAATTCCTATAGCATAGATATCACTTTTAATTTGAAAAATAATTCAGTCAGCTTTCCTAAAGTATTAACTGGATTTTTTAAAGGATAATTTAAAAAACCCTTATTATATTATAGAACTTCAATTTTTAAAAGGTAGGAGTTAACATCCAGATGAAATCCAGTCCTCCAAACTGCCTTATACTTAATTATAATTCACTTGTTTTATTTTAAATGACAGGATAATATACAGACTGATTGTTTTCAGGATAGTGAACCCATCTGTGTTTGCTCTGTGAATGTTCTTTTTCTCTCTAGTATTCTAGGAAATGAAGTTATGGGAATCTGGTCCAGGCATGCCGAGAAAGCCGATGTCAACTGTGCCTGTGTATCTCATTCAGGAATCAGTCTTGTAACAGGAGATGACTTTGGCATGGTTAAATTATTTGACTTCCCATGTCCGGAAAAATTTGTAAGTTTGTTTTGTTTAGTATTTTTATCATTTTACAAATAACTTAGATGTGATCATTAGTATGTTTTCGGAAATATTCAAATGTTTGGACTCGACTTTTCAAATGTTTCATACTTTCAAATTTCTGCACCCTTTTTTCCAGTCTCCTAAATCCATTACTGCAAATAAGATAAATGTCAGTCTGGGATAGTGGCTCAGTGGCAGAGCTGCTGCTTAGCTATGTGAGGCATTGGATTAAATTCTCAGCACCAATATAAATAAATAAAATAAAGGTCCATCAATAACTAAAAAGGTCTCCCTCCAATAACACCTCTGATGATCTTTTTAGCAAACCTTTAAAAGTCAGTTATCAAATTTCCAATGCTTTTCTTAAAATCTTTCAGAGACCTGAAGACATCTGACTGCCCAGATAGCCTGGTTTGTGTTAAGTATAGATCTGTTACTATCTCTGAAAGAAAATTTTAATCATTGGGTGTGGTCCTAACTCCCTTCTCTCTCCATAGTTCTTGTGATTAAAAAGTTTATGGTTCCTAATAACAACTTTTAATTTTTGTTAAATTAAATGTCCTGAGTTTTGTTTGTCATTGTTCTTTAGGCAAAGCACAAAAGGTTCTTGGGTCACTCACCCCATGTGACAAATATTCGCTTTACTAATGGTGATCGACATGTTATCAGCGCTGGAGGTGATGATTGCAGGTCAGTAGCTTTCTTAGTCCAAGAAGAGCAGACTATCTTTTTACTATTTAATATAAAACTTCTGTAAGCTCTGGTTAATAAACTCAGCATTTTCTAAAGGTAGTATATACTTATTGCAAATACAAAATAAAGAGAGTTAATAGGAAATACAAACTTCTGAAAATCTAGAGATGTAATGAACTCCCTTACATTTTTTTTTTCTTTCTGATTGCAGTTTATTTGTCTGGAAATGTGTACATATGCCTCACTGAAAGAATGGATGTTGGGAAGACAACACATATTAACAGTCGTTAGAGATCAGAATTACAAAGAAGAAAAACAACCAAAACCAAACTGCATGGTCAAGTGGTGCTAACTGCAGACTAACAGGGAGAGATGCCCAGAATCATCAAGACTAGTAGAAGATTGCTGAGTTCAAAACATTTGCTATACACACTGTCCATAATTCATTCACTGCCAGATAATTACATTGAAGGAAGGATTGAATACTTGTTGATAAAAGCCACCCCATTATTATTGAGGAGTACAATTTTGGCAAACCTGTTGGGGAGATGTAGGGTACAGCACTCCTCAAAAGACTACAAAATGTAAAAACCCAACTAGGAAAATTTTCATCTTCCTTTTAGGAAAACTATTTCCTTTTAACACTTCCATTTTCTTTTCAAGATTCATTGTCCAATTAAGTATTTTATTCTTGCATTTCCATTTAGAAAGGAAAAGCCATCTCACCCTAACAGAACAGTTTTCAAAAGGCAAACATTTTCCCTATGGAAACAAACACAAATTTTCCTGGAGAATGTATCTCATACATTAATAACACCCTTTTTATAAAGGACATTTCTCCTTGTAGTTTGAATTGAGGAACAAATCCAAAGTTAGTAGTGTATGACTTGCTATATTTTCACTTCTAAGCTGTCAAATCTTTTTGTTTAAAAGCCATCTCTATATTTGAAATTTTAAGATTATAGCCTCATTATTAGGAAGGCAGTATGATGAACAATTATTTCCAGTGGTCTACAGTTTTGGAGTTTTTTTTTTTAAAGTTTTCAGATAACAATAGTATTTAAGTGGAAGAAAGCACTGCATATTAAAGATATACACTATAAACATTTGATTAACATTAAATTCACACAAACATATAATTTAATAATTGTTGGTATTAAACTTTTATAGCTTTTTCTATTGGGAAAATTTTAGTTAGACATATTGCCACCCCTCCATCAGCTAATTTCCAAAATATATGAACCTAGGTCCATTTGAAAACTTGTCAGAATCCCTTCTTAGTGGATTGAGGTTGAACTTGTAAATCCACAGTCCTTTTCACTTTAAATGCTGCCAAAGATCAGTAATCACTGTTCAGGAATTTGCTGTTTTAGTCTATCTACCGATTCTTGAAGACTGAAAATTAAATAGAGTGCTGTTTAAAAATATATTTTTCTAAATGTAAAGAAGTTAAAGATGTACTACTGGTCCTATAAATTTTTAATTTACTGTTATTTTATCTTTTATAGTATAATAAGTAATAGAAACCCTTAGATTTCTGGGATTCCTAGTTTAGTTTGGTAATACATAATGAAGATTCCCAATATCTATTTTCTGTGGCCAACACTGGGAATACTAAAATGACTAAATTACATCAAAGAAAGCCTCATCAGTGATTGAACCTGGTCAGTTTTAAAAGTGAAATAGCTGCCTCTCAAGGGTTGAATTAGGGATTAAAGAAACTTGACACATAAACTATATTCTGTCATTATTCACAATAAAAGATTGTCTTAGCTGGGTGTAGTAGCACATATCTGTAAATCCCAGTGATTTGGGAGGATGAGGCAGGAGGATTGCAAGTTTTGAGGTCAGCTTCAGCAACTTAGACCCCGTCTCAAAGGCTGGGGATGTGGCTCAGTGGTTAAGCATCCCAGGCTGGGTTCAATTCCCAGTACCAAAAAATAAATAAATAAAATTCCCCTAAACCAAGGATAGTGGTGTACAACTCCAATGCAAGCTACTGAGGAGACTGAGGCAGGAGGATCACAAGTCCAAGGCCAGTCTGGGCAACTCAAAACCCCATCTCAAAATTAAAAAAAAAAAAAAAAAGGTTGTGGGGGTATTGCTCAGTGGAAGCAGTGCTTACCTAGCGTGCACAAGGCCTTGGGGGTTACATCCCACCACAAAAGAAAGGGGGGGGGAATTTCCTAAATTAAACAAAACTTTAGATTATATTAATTCTATTCAACATATTTTATGAAATTAAAGGAAAAGGCACCCGGGGCCAACCTCATGTAAAAAGAAAATTACTGCAAATTTGAGCCTGTTGTAGTTTTAAATTTTCATTATTAAGTGTGTTGTTTTGAGGAAGAGAAAAATTTCAATTGCATCACAATGTAGTCAAACTATATTCTTAAGGAAGTAATCTATATAGCACAAACTGCTTCCATTGCATTTTTGTCCATCAAAGTGACTAACCTCGTAAGTCAGCCTTAATCACTTAATCACTGCTATGGCAGTTTCCTGACTGAAGGTCACCTTGACTTAAGTGGGCATCTTACCACCTTGCTGTATTAGCCATCAACTAAGGGAAGGTGTAATATGACCACATAAAATCTGCCCTATATTTTTTTAACCTAGAGAATTATTTTTGTGTGCAGCATCTATGCTCCTGAATTTACAACTTGAGACTGGTGGCCACTGTAGTCCCAATTCTTTTATGTCTATACATGCATGCCAAAGCACACCCCACATTTTGGTATTATTTACTTCATTATCACCAACCATATTCATCCCCTTCTGTTTTTATAGTGGTTCATTTTAGACTCTGTTAGACCAACCAACAAATATTTTAGGGTCAATTTTAAGCTGCCCACAAACTGAAAGATAAATATTAAAACAATCAGATTTTAGCATGTTATTTCCATGTAAAAGATTTGCGCTTAACCACTTAAGCCCTTGATCCAATGGAACTATGAAAACTAGAAACCATTTATAAATGATAGTTTAAATAAATCATTTAAAAACAAATTTCTTCTGCAGAGATGCAAAGCATCAACACTGGAATGAACAAATGCCTTAAATTCAGTGGAGCACTCTGAGAATGAAGGGGACTGTCACCTCACCTAGCCTAGCACAGTGGTTGTATCGCCCTTGTGTACTTTGTTCTTTCAGTGTTTCAAGTCTTCATTTTGGGATCTCCACAGCCAAGTGCAGCTCACCAAATGGTTTAACAACTAGTTGTTTCTTCTCCCAATGGAAAAACCAATGATCACAACAGTAGAAGGCTGGCTTTATGATCTTAAAATGCTTTTTATAGATGTGGGTTTATTATCCATCCTTCAAGAATATGACTAAGTCAATTTTTTTTAAAACAGTTAATTTGGTCCTGAAAACATCTGAATCTTTATTATCCCTTCTGCATTAATTCACTCTTTACTAACCACTTTTTAAGATTTAATTTTTAAAAACACTACTATACATCAATAAAATCAATTATCTGTTTGTTATTTAATTCTAAAGCATTGGACACATCTTGCCTTAACAATTTTAAAAACCACACGCAAAACTCAATAAATACAGTAGGCCAAAAGTTTCATCCTATCTTGCAGTTTACCCATCTGATCTCTGTAATTATATAGCTCTGTCATTTAAAAATATGACTTAAATCTAATTTTTACATTTCAAAAATGATCTTCAGTAGTAACCAAGTGTATTTTCTGTGGAGTTATTTCTGAGAATGTTATTTTTCAGAATGTGGGAATATATATTTATAATCTGTTTAAAAGTTTGTTTTCTCTGATCCTAATGTATATACTTGTAAAAATTTTTGTATATTTTGTGACAATGTAGTTCCCCAAAAAGTTTATTTAAAAAGTATGTTAATAGTAAATGAAAGTATTTTAAGGAATTGTTCATATTTTTTGCACTTGTCATTCCAATTGTTTTCATGTTTATGCCCATCCCACTCCTTTCACAGAAGGCAAGGGACCTAGGGACCACTGCACCAAAGTGGCACTCAAATCAGAGGCCTGTACTACCATGTTTTTCTAACTAAATTCTTTTAAAAATTAAAACAGATTTGAGTGACTATTTTAAGCTGCCTCAATACTTTGGCCACTCCTATTTTCATGGTGGACTACAAACATCATATCATCTTTGGGAAGAGTGAAAGCAATTCCACTTTCAAAATAACAACACTCCTCACTACAGCCAGTGGTCCTAAACTGAAAGAACCATCACTAACAATGATGGCATGTGCTGAGACCGAAGCAGCAGTGTACAAACATGCCTCAAATGTTTTAATAGAATTTAGCTTTTCCTTAAACTGTCTTTTCATAATCAAAACAACAACAAAACACCCAATGTTAAAACTACTTAATAAACTTACAAACTTGAAAAATTAGACACTTCAGATAGACAATAAACTTCATGTTATGAAAGCAATATATTCCAAGTTTCAAAGATTCGACAAATTCTGTAGAATTATCTTTCATCAGTAGATGGAACCTTTCAAACTGCATGATCTTCCACCAGATAGGACTGGGCGTCATTCACTAAATAAACAAAAAACAAAAAAACACTTTTAATAAACTGCTTTGTACCCAGATGTATCATTCAGCCAGCTAAGGAGTATCTTTGGACAAGGAATATTGGTCATGCAGTTACATCAGACTTTGTTTTAAAAAAAAAAAAAAAAGTCAATTTTATAGAACAAAATATGTAACTCAAATATAGGCCACAATAAATTATGTTCAAACTTCCTTTTTATAGTTTACAATTGCTAATGTCTAAGAAAATGATTTGAGATTCATAAGTAGCACATACACACATAGCATAGTTTATGATCAGAATTCAAAGATATCTGATGTATAGGCTAAAAATAAGTAATCACGAGATAAAATAAAATTTGGTCCATAGTAAATCATTTGGCTAAAAGGTCCCTGTACAGTTAAACAGAAGAAAAAGAAAAGAGTGATAGTTTAATTTCTCCCAGGTTTCTGGATTATACATTAAACAAGCTACATACTAGAAAAATATTTGAAAATAACATCAGAAGAATTAATTTTCATCTTTACCTGGTTTGAGGTCGAATCCATTTCAAGGCATGTCTTGGTGGTACAGTAATGGTGGGATGATAGAATGTACAGTCCGGTCTTGTACACTGAGTGTTAAATCTACAGTGCTACATAGAAACAACAGCATGAATAAAACAGCAGCATTCAATAACATGCATAAAATTAAACACAACTTGAGAGTAACCAGCCCACCCCTAACCATTAATGGAGTAAGATACCTGGAAACCCTTGATGAATGAACCTTTCCCTGGGATGCAAAATCCTAATCAAAGAATCACAGCAAGACTTCTAATCAATATAGTATTTATCCCTTCATAAACTGCCTAACATCCCTCATCAGAGCTTTTGTGAGTTTGTGATGAGGCCTTACTTATTCTGGTTAAGCATTCTACCACTGAGCTATGTCCCCTGCCCTGAAAGCCTTTCAAATAACAATCTTCAGGCTGGTATTTCAGAGATATTCACTCTGAGCAGCCAGCTACTGATACATCAACAATCTTTAGCACACAAAACCATCATTTCAAGTAAAGTAATAATTCTGAACTTCATTATCTCAGTCTGTCATGAGGTTTAAAAAAAAAAAATCCCAAATGCTCAGGGGCAGGAAAAAAAGGAAAATATGGCAAGCAAAGCTGACCCCTTATCTTCTCAGAGCTCAAAATACCAACATGAAAGAGGTTCAGACCACTTAACATGAAGAGCCACAGAGCTCAGCAACAACCAAGAACCAACTTAGAACAGTTCTTGAAGACAATAAAGTCAACTGACAAAAATGATATAAAACTAGGAAGGACAGAAAGAGGAAGAGATGCAATTTCTTAGTGATCTTCCACACTAAAATGATTTGGGGGAAAATACAAGTTCTTACTTTTGGATGGTAGAAGGGACATTCCATTTTCTTACATGCTGGGAAGTAACGGCAGAGCTGACTACTAGAAGATGGTGTTGGTGTTGTAACTGCTGACAAATGTAAGAATAAAGAATATCATATTTGACAAAATAATTTTTATTGCAATCTAATGATTCCTTTTTAGCTGTCAACGGACCTTTATTTATTTATATGCAGTGCTGAGAATCAAATCCAGTGCGTCATGTTAGCAAGCACTCTGCCACTGAGCCACAATACCAGCCCTAATGATGATTTTAATGGAGGTGCAAACCACTTAAATTAGTATGCTAAGTTTTATATGTTCACTAGGCAAGATAAAACACTTCAGAATTCTCTAGAATGGGCATACTAGCTCTGTAAGACTAGTATGATTAATTGACCATGTCAAAATTATTTCTAAATTTCTTTTTCTCATGCTTTCTTTTTTTAACCTAAATGCAGTAGTATACAGTCACTAACCTGGTTTTGGAGGCAGTACTGGAATTCTTCTACTCATATGAGTAAAGGGACAATCTGGCTTAGTACACTTTGCATCAAATTTACAATTTGGATGAACAAACAAACATTTTTCAGCAAATTTACAATTGGGGAAGGCTCTACAAAACAAAGCATATTATTCAGTTAATATTCTCAATGCATTATTATTTTTTTGTAAAGTGGCTTCTTGTACTCCATCACTACTTGTTTTAAGAAATGCAGAAGTCAGAGGAAAAAAATTCTCCCATTTTTAAATGAGGCTAAATATTATAATAGGATAAAACTATGTCCTTCAAAGCCCGGAGCAACACAAAAAGGTTTTCAAACAAAAGCCAAACCATTAGAAAAGGTAGATTTTGTGTGTGTGTGTGTGTGTGTGTGTGTGTGTGTTAAGAGACATGATACTTTATCAGTAAAGTCTATCATTTGTGA